AATTGCTAATGTGGTATATATTCCAAATATTGTGGATATTATAGAGGTTGTGGTAGAGAAGAGTACTGTTAGGAGTAGAGCAAGAAAGATGTGCTTTGTGTTTGGCAATAGTAAGATATTTGTCAAGAATTGTATTGCATATAGCAAGAAGAATAATGATATTATGAATTCAGTATTCAATAGTAAGGGTAATAACAGTATTAATAATATAAGTAATTTGTTTGTTAGTAATGTTTTTGGTACTAGCAATATTGGCTAAGTTAATAGCTTCATCTTAAATAAGTTTGATTTGGAAGGTTTGTTTGTTGTTAAGAGTGAACCAATATCCTAAAAATTTAAAAGGCCAGAAGAGTGGAATAGATTGGAGGTTGGAGTTAAGAAATAAGAAGTTTGATAGAGTTTGGTTTGTAATAAATATTGATTTTGTAAAGTTAACTTGAATATCTGCCATGGTGTAGAAAGAGGAGGTGATATTAACAATTTCATTAAGTTGTTCTTTGGATTGGGCAATCCATAATATATTGTCCATGTATGCCAGAACAGATATAGAGGTATTAAGATGGTTGGTAAAGGGGTATATGAGACTAGTTTGTCAAGAAGTGAAGAGAGTGTATTCAGAAAAGTGTAAGGAAGTATATACTATAAGAGAGTCATAGTAGATTCTCTAAAAAAGAGGAGTGATTGTTTTACTTGGTTGATACTATTTCTAACAGAGTAGAAATTGGTAAGGCCAAGATTAGTAATAACTCGATTAGTACGGTCGAATAAGAGATTGGTGAGAATGTTGATAAACTGTTAAGGCATTTGTATATGATAAAAAGATTTTTAAAATAGTTTGAAGTTAACAGAGTCATATGTCTTGCTTATATCTTGGAAAAGTAGCCAGAGTTGGTTAAAGTTGCAGTTGGCATCTTCTATTATGTTGTTGAGAATGTGAATAGAAATAGAAGTAGAGTTGCTAGGAAGTGCAACAAAGTTAAAGGGAGACAGAATATTATATTGAGACAAAATAGTATTGAGACGGTTAGTAAGAAGTTTTGTATATAGCTTTTTAATATATTCATTAAGCTAATAGGTCTGGTGTTTGATAGGTTGCTATCAAAAATAGGCTTTATAGAGATAGGAAAGATATAGCCTTCTTTCCATTGTTTGGGAATAGTTTGAAAGATAAGACATCGGTTAAAAAGAGATGTAATAGCAGTAAGAAAGTTAGGGCCTGCATGTTTAAACATTTCATAGCTAATTCTAGATAGACCACAGGCTTTGTTGCTGGGAAGTTGGTTAATCATAGAGATAATCTCATCTTTAGTGAAGTTAAGAAGGATGTTGGAGTACCAAGTTGGGTTGATATGAGGCTTGGGATTATTTTCAACTTGCTATTGGAAGTTAAATATATTGGTATTGATGTGGCAAGAAGCAGTCCAGTTATCAAAATGTTGTTGGATATGTGATTTAATAGTAGGAGAGTTAGTAATAATATCATTGTCTAATCGAATATTGTTAAATTTAACAGGGTCTTTGTATTGATTGAGAATACTATTAATCATTAAGGTTGGATAGGTCTAAAGTTAGAGCATTTTTTGTTGATAGCATCAGAGATTTGTTGCTTGATTTCTTTGATATTCTCAATATTTCAGGTATAAAAAAGATTTTTCTATTCAGAGTTAGCCTTGGTAATCCAGGGAATAAGAAGTTGGTATGTGGAAGGTAGTAAAAGAATATATAAGCTTGCAGATTAATTAAGTGATGTAATAGAGAAGTTAAGGTAAAAAGGAATAGGTGAAGAGTATTTTAGAGCATGTTTTACATATTGAATAATGTTGCCAAGTTTTTTGAGATTAGAGTGTAAATGAGTGGCTTTTGAAGAGAAAGTATGCTGAAAGTTGTAAACAGTAAATTTTTTGTTTGGGATGTGTTTTAAAGCAGCTATAATGATACTGGTGTGGATTTTGTGCCAAGTTGTTTTGAGAGATTTCAGAGTTTGTATTAAAAAGAGAGTATGGTTAGAGTGGAGATTAATGTGGACTTGGTTAGAAAATTCTTCCCATTTAATATTGTTTATAACTTTGTAATTGAAAACTCTTCTATGAGTTCAAGTTTTGTATCTACATTGGCCATGTAGTGTATAGGGAAAGGACATCAAGTTTTTGTGATTACTAAGTAAGCTACTGTGTAAGTCATCCATATTGAAGGAAATTAGGTAGGTTATAATAGTATAATAGGCCCAAATAAAGTCTATTTTGCTACTATATCTAGAGCTGTGTCAGGTAGAGGAGGATAAAGCAGTGTGTGAAGTGAGATTATATATATTATTGTAGATAAGAAATTGGAGAAGTTTATGTTTGATAGAAAAAAAATGAATATTGTTGGTTGAGGCATTAAAGTTTTCAAGTATAATAGGAAGCAGGTTAAGAGTGCTAGTATCTTGTAACCATTAGATAATAGTGTTTTGAGTTTGAAGTCTAATAGAGGCATTGTCACTGGAAAGATATATAGAGATAATACAGAATTTAAAATCATATTTAAAAAGTAGATTAATCATAATAGCATAACCAGAAATTAGAGAAGTTTTGTGTATATAAGGAGTTAAGGAATTGTATATCATAATAGCAGTTCTAGCTTTGGAGTTGTTAGTACAAGACCAAAAGTAAGTATAGTGAGAAGTTTTAAGGGGTTTGAAGATTAGAATGCTGTTGTTAGCAAGTTTGGTTTTAGTAAGACAGATAATATCCAAGTTGTTAGATAGATAATAATGTTCCCAAACTTGTTGTTTGAGGTTTTGGTTGAAGCCTCAAATATTGTGTGTATATATTGATAGATTAAGAGGTGAGTGAGGAGTGCTAGGGCTAGAGATGTATTGAGTGTTCAATTTTAAAGGAATAAATAGATAAAGATAGATACTTTTTAAATAAGATATAATTGTGTAGTTAGGTAGAGGACAGGATTTACTAGGAAGATAGATATGTGCTTCACTATAATTATTTTTGATAAAGATAATAGCTTTGTCTTGAAGGTTACTCCATAAGCTATTTGTTAGTAGATATAAGAAAAAAGAGTTAAGTGATTGGGGTGATAAAATAGGTGGATGGTTTTGTGATATAAGGAATTTATTAAAGCAAGTGAAAGATTCATAGGAGGTAGAAGAGATTGTAAATAGAACCTTTCGAATTTTTTCTACAATTGTACTTGCCGTATACCCAGCTCTCACAGTTTTGCAAGAATTAGAGGCACTCAGGTTGGATGTAAAAGTACCATTATCTGATTTTTCCAAATATATTAGATCTATTAATAATAAAGTTAGAGGTAATAAAATATTAGTAAAAGACTAGAAATTATTTTGAAGCTATTAAACTCTAATTTAAGTAAATAACCAAAGTAGATCTTTGTTGTTTAACTATTTAAAAAAATTAAAAATATATTGCTAAAGTTAAATATCTTAGATATTTTTAATATTATAGATTTGAAGATATAAAAAAGTGCTAGCAAAAATAGTATAGTATAACTAATTTTGGCTTTGTATTTAACAAGGCCAATATGTTGTAAAAGAATTTTGTTATAGTAATACAGTCAGACCTCGTTATAGTCACCCTCAATATAATCACAACCTTGTTATAATCACACTATTTTTTTGATCTCGCTATTATAAAACTTATAAATTTTGATCTTTATATAGTCACGACTTTTATAATCACCAAAATTTTGTTTCCCAACCTGGTGATTATATCGAGGTCTGACTGTATTGGCTAAAAACAATATTTTAAAGTTGATATTTAATGAAAAGAATAATAACAGTATTGATAATATAACAAACCTGAGTATTAGTAATATATTTAGTATAGACAATTTAAATAAGATATGAGAGTTTAAAAATTATAAGTTAAAATTGTTTAGATTGTTTGTTGTTTAGAGTAAACCAACAACCAAGAAATTTAAAAGATTAATAGAAAAAACAAATAGATAAAACCTAATTGTTAAGATAGTTGAGATATAGTTATTTAATTTAAAATTAGTAAAAAGAATGAATTTAGATAGGTTGACTTGAATATTTGCTATTGAATAAAAAGATTTTGTAATAGAAAAAATTTATAATTATATATTTATATAAAAATATTATTTATAAAGTTATTTTTTTTTATTTCTTTGATAGGTCTTGTCATAACTTAACCTCTTAGTTTTTAGAATATCTAATTTATATATATTTATTTCTAAAACTAATTAAAAGCCCAACTTCATCAAGTTATCTATTAAGATATCTAGGTACAATATCATACTAGCTAATAGATAAGCTAGAAAAAGGTTCTTTTTATAAACTTGTTTAAAAGAGGTTTTCACCCTTTTGTATTTAATTCAAGATAGCTGTTTCTGTACCTTTTTCTCCTTTGCTATAGCTTTATAAAGTTAATAAAATTTTTTAAAATTTAAAATAATTATAAAAAGTATAACTATATATTTTTTTCTAAAATAACATTTGTCTACTAGGGCTTATTAAATAATTTATTTATAATAAATAATAACTTTAAGCTTTTAACATATTAAAAAAAAACTTTAAATAAAATTTAAAAAAGATTTTTTTAAAATATCCAACTTTTATATAACAACTATATAGATTATATTAAGCTCAATGTAGTAACATGCAAGCCATTAAAAGTAAAATAACAATACATTTATTGGCTTTATAAATTCTAGAATCGAATAACAAACTGCAAAATATTTTATTAATAAAGAATTACTTTTAATTATAATAAAAAACTATATTGTCCATTTAACTCTTATCGAGCTTAAAAACCAAATTAATGTTCTATCAGCTTACGGGATAGAATAAAAGGTTCTAAAATTAATTTTTAAATTTAAAATTCAAACTATGTATATTCAATTACACAAATTTCATCTACAATTGGAACTAATACATAGAAAACAATGCTATTAAAATATCTACTTACAATGAAGAAAGATGCAATCACTTAAATATGCAAAATTGAAACAATTCTATAGACATTATTTTACATAATAATCTTATCCGCATGTGCACTCAAATGAGAAATAATAAATAATTTTCCATCATCTCCAGCTACCCATATTTGCTGATTATTATTACTCAACTTTATACATCTACCAATTAATGGTATCTCAAATTCGTGACATAGGTCTAAGCTGTATACATTGAAATAAAATATTGAATCAGCCTCGTATTTACATTAACTCAGTTTATATTATGAAGTATTTAGCATATAAATTTACCTAAGACCATCGTATACACAAATTTTTCCTTTGTTGCTTGAGGTAACTATTAAATTATGATCCTGAGAGGAAATAATGTGATTCAATCTTTCATGTATCTCAACGGAATTTAAAAACTTTCCATTTATGCTATATGTATGTAAAAAGTATTCATCCTATTCATGCACATTCAAGAAATTATAATTAAAAATATGGATAATAATACCATCTAACAAGAAATAAATATACTTGCATATTGTTCGGTGTATAAAACTATATTTGCATCTCTAGTAATGCAAACAAATTCAACATTAGAATCTAAACCTTCTAAAGGTCGTAATGTACGAATATAGTTCGCATTCTTTAATGAATGAACAATGCACGTTCCATCCTTGAAAAAAAACGACAAAATAATTAATATCATATAACCAAAATACTTGTTATATATATATATTACCTTTGATCCACTTATCAAGATATCATGCTCTGCATTAACGACAAGACATGTTATCTAAATTATATAATCCGTTAGAACATAAATATAAGATAATTCATAGAAAATCTATCATAAATTTAGTGTTCCAAATAAGCCGGCTTATTTGCTACACCCTCTATAGCTTAAACATATAGACGTGACAAATAAGCCTATTTTACGCCGGCTCGTTTGGAGCATTACATAAATTATACATACTTCGTCATCATGTCCATAAAATGCTTGTACAGGAGAATGCCCAATGCTTAAAAATTCGCCATCATCAGTTAAATTAACTTTCCATGACAGCAAATTCGAACATCGAGAACCTGTAACAACTGTTCTTCCGTCTTCGCTAATAGCCACAGCTGTTACTATATGTGCGTTAGAAGTCAAGGACAAAACCATAATAAAAACCAATAACAACTGGATAAGATATGTTCAAGACCAAAAAGGATATCATCATGTCCGTAGATAGAATCAATAGTTCTACCTGTTTCACTAAGAGTTATTTTGACAGTATTATCCCAATGACCGCAACTCAGAATAACCTTTCCATCTTTACTAGAAGTGAAACATCTTGGCGTAATAATTGCATCAAAACTATATGGGCTACTCAATCGACTAGTTTAATATATAAAGATTGTTAACGACTTAAATTTTTTATTATTAATAAAAAAAAAAAAAAAATACATACGTCTTGTATTGTAAATTAGGATCAACCTCAACTGTGAAAGGTATATCTGGAGACATGCTTTTATGTAAAACTCGATGATATCCAATAACCCCATTATCATCAACTGTAATTATTGCTTGCTCATCATGAGAACTTTCTTTATCTGGTTTTGGCAAATCAACAAAATATAACTTTCCAAATTTCAGTTCAACAACAAATCTTTGTTGGATATCATTCGAATTCAATAGATCCTTCCTAAGAAAATCTTTACTTCGTAGTCGTGGTGGATGTGGTTTTGTCAATAATTGTGTTGGAGTCTGGCCAAAATGGTATATTTGCTGTTCGATACTTTTGCGCTCCACTGGATCTTGAATACTGTCAATGTTTATAGCGCCCTCATATGTTAAGTAATAGAATACATTACATGCTTTAACCGCTTCTTCTCCAGTTTGTTTGTAGCCAAATATTAAGTCTAAATTAAGCATTTATTAGCGACAGTAATAATAATAAAATAATAATATCATCATAATGATGATAACAAATATAATCTAACCTATCCAATGGTGTAAATTCTCGGATACAAAATCTGACTCTAAAGCCTCGCGATTAATACGAATAAATTCTTCAGCAGAATGCGCCCATTTTGGCAGGCCTACGTCACCAAGTCTAGTACCATCCTGCCGCACCTAACATAATATTATAAGTGATTTTTAAAGGTAAATGCAGTGTAAATAGATTCAATCACAAAAAGAAGCAAGGAATACTCACACCAAGGTCAAAATTATTATAATTCACCAAGAACTCTGGCAAATAAAAAAATTCAGGTATCAACTCTCTAACATCTCCGCTTGCGTGATTAACAGAATGCCATGTATCTTGAATAGAATGAAATTGACGATCAGCATGATCAAACTTTCCTCCTTGCAAAGAAATATGAACAGACGTATAAGGCTCCATCCTAATTAGATAACATGCTACAGTTGCTGCGCTTGAATAATGCGTTCCATAATGAAATTTTTTTATCTTTCCTGATGGATCATCAAAGCTTTCATATCTATCAATAATCTGTTCTAATCTCACTGGATTTAATGCTCCAATTGGTTTGGATAAATCACGATAAATTTTAGGATCTGACAAATCGATTGTCTCAGATTCGTAATCACTAATGACCCATGGAAAAACAAAATATTGTGTTAAATCGTTAAAAGATCTCCCCGCCATACCATTAAGGTGCATAAGATATTCAAAATTTGATATTTCGTGTCTTTGCCAACGTTCAGTCAAGTTCGTTCTTTGAAATATCGTAACTGGCGAGCGAGTATCTTGATTTAACATTGATGGAGGTCGAAGTGAGGTTATTTTTGCGAATAATTTGGTGCGATCCTTCGGTTCCGGGAAATTAAAGAAATAATTTGTTTGATCAGTTAAAAATAGTTCAAAAGCACTTCGCCTTAATAAATATTTTCGCATATGTATTTCACGTATATCTGAAATTGGCCATTTTTTATCTCTAAGCATCTCACTATCAACAATAATCGAGCCTTGTTCGATATTATTGAGTTCTTGTAACAAATTATGTCGATCGACAAAGAAGGAAAGATGTGTAGAAGTGAGTTCAATCCGACCCTTGATGGCAGATAATAGAACAATCAATTCGCATTCAGCCGAAAATAACTTTGTTTCATTAGAAAGGTCCACCGTATCAACTACATTGTCACCAGCTACAATATTCCATTCTTGATCATCAGATTCCAAACTTTCAGATTCTGAAACCAAAGATGACCCACTAAAACCCCATGCATCAGTCCAAGGTTCTACGGCATCTAATATAGGTGTTGTGCCTCTCCCAGGTTCTGGTGTGGCAGCCTTTTTTATTCTTTGAATGCTTAAATGTTTTGCTTTGTTAGCTGGCATTGCAATGGGTGTTTTGTCCCGCTTAGCACTAGCCTCGCGATGTGCATCATAATCGTAATTAATAGTCAATTTTCGACGCATTCTTGAATAATTTTCTCTTCTGTCTAACTTCCAATGAACATCAGCTTGATTTCCTAATGACCATACTCCTCGTTCTTGTGTTAATTCGTGAAACCTTGACAACCACTTTCGCGAAATTCTTAAGTCCTCATTTTTCTTGTCAACTTCGCAACTAGTTAACCGTGCTAATTCTTCCTCTCTATATGATTTAATAATTCCATCCAATTCAGCACAAAAAACATCTTCAGATTTAGCTGAATTTGTTTCTCCCTTTTTAGAACGATTAATAAAAAGACTAACTTTCTTTGAAAATTTTTCTGTCATTTTTCGCACCATAGCAAAATTATTTTCGTCTGCATTTTTCATGGAAGGTACTATATGACGATCGTGTATAAGAATCCAATTGCGTGACGTGACAAAGTTTACAAATGCGTGATCATTAAATTTCGTGCCTGACCAGATAGTGTCAATAAATTGTACGGAAGAAAGATTTCCGTTTCCAATATTAACTAAGTAGTTGCGGCATTTATGTAATATAAAATAATAAGCAAACAATATTTTTTGATCGTATGCACCATTCATCATTTGCGATGCACTAGTTTTTTTTTTTATTGTTAATAAAAAAGAGAATATGTATTAGATTTTATTTAAATATCAAAACACTGAGTTAATTTAACTTACGTGAATGCATCATGAACTTCTCCCAGCATCACGAGGATATGTTGTCGAAAGATGTCACTATCTTGACAGTAAAAATCTTCCAAATGCTTCTTTTCCACTTTCGAATTTGTATCTGGAACCTTAACATGCCTTTCTGCAAATCCCATAAGATCGTCAAGTGCCTTTTCTCGCAATTCTCGATCTTGTAATGAAATACCTGCAACCAAAGCCCGTAGTACCATGCGACAAGTATCTCCGTTTTGCTATAAGATAATAATTGAAATCTAGTTAATATAAATAACACAAGTTTACCATAAAATAAGAAAAGTAAAGATATCTAGCAAAAAAAAAAAAACTAACCAATCCGGTACGAATCGTTGACATATCCATTCTCCAATTTCCAGTTCTATCAAGAGTATCTATAATTTCTAGATACATCGTAGTCAAGATCTGATCTTCTTCCCATGGATTACTAGAGCTTTGAAATATCATATCATCATATTTTTGCGAAGAAAACGGCGAAAAATTTGATTCTAATTTTTGTATAACCGTATCATCAAATTTCAATATATTTAATGTCGGTAAATTGGATTCTAAAATAAAGATTATGCTTTAGGTAATTACAGAAAATAGTTAATCTATTAGATAATAATATTAAAAATACCATATGCTGATATAATTGAAGAAGAAGAACTTCCAGGAAACGAATTAATTTTCTGTTCATTATTAACTTGTCTTTGAATTACGGATTGCGTTAAATCTTTGTGATTAAAAAGGATTTCTTCAACGAGCATTACTAATCGAATTACATTTTCCTACGAATTTTGATTTTTAATTGAAAAGAAAACTTGAATATGATAAACGTGAAATTTGAAGATATGTGCATCAACTTACCATTTTTATAATCGCAAATGACGCAGAGAATGAATTATTGATTTCTCGTGTAACAAATGAAAGCAGTATAGTAAGGAACGCTCGAATAGTTTCCAACGAATCAGGTCGTTCACTTGTCCAAATAGCTATTATAGTATCCTCGACAATTCGATAAGCATTGTTATCAATCTCAAACAAATTCCATATGACGATCGCGATAAATTCTAATGCCCAATCTGCAATGTCCTTATCACCTTTTTCGGAAGTAATATTATCTTGTCTGCTATATATTGGAACAAGTCTAATAAGATACTTTTGCCAAAGCCATGTTTTATGAAGTTCGGTGCAAAATGTAATATTTTGCTTAAACATTAAAACCAATTCCTCGAGGATTCTGCATTGTACTGTCCTCTTTGTCCCTTCTGAATCTAGTAATGCAAGGATTGCCACAATAATTTCAAAATTTTTTATTGGTGGCAAAACCAAAGGAAGTGTTTCTGCATCATCTTTGTTCGGTAACCCTGCAGTATTAAATTGTTCCAACGACCAATGTAATAGTGCATGATAAATATTAAAAGTCAATGGAGCATTCTCCATTAACCTTATTAAATTTATTATGTCCGTATCCTCAAATCGAAGTTTTTTGACAATTCTGATTGGTGTCAACGGACATGTGACTAAAAATGTTATTATTTTGATACAATAAAATCGAACATTTTCATCCTGCCGTTTTAAGAGTTCGCATAGAATTTCGAACCCTCCGTATGAGGAAAATATATCTACTATTTCTTTGTCTGATTTACTTATAAGCAAGTTGAGAAGTAAATTTAAAAGTTCACATATATGCTCATCGTCTTCACTGATTAAAAGACTTCTAAATACACACAGAGTTTCATCTTTTGAGATTTTATCTTTGAAATAATCACTTATGATATTAAATAGAATAGCACGAAGTTCCTTTAATTGAGGAGGTTTTGGTCTCATGGCCCCAGCAGTCGAATGTCTGTGAGGAGCAGATAATTCACCTTGCTTGTACCAATACACGTTTTGTAGTATGTCCAGAAAGAATTGAATTCCAAAATGTTCGCGGCACATTAACTTTCGTGCATCGATAAAGGTTTTAAGAAAATCAATACAATACTTCTGAATATCAATTGTCGCATACATCCAAAGACGAAATTCAAAGACAAGGTTTGAATAAACTTCTTGAGCCAAGTCTTCATTGGAGCTCAAGGCACTTGCCAATGCGATCATGCTTTGAAAAGAAGATATAGTAAAATGGCGTGGCCCAATCTGTTGTAATAGAAGGCTAACAACCTTTATACCTCGGAATTTAACAATATGATTTTGGCTCTTTGGATTATTATGTAACAATGAAGATAAGAGAGCGAAAAATGCTTTGCATGGCCCTTCCGACGCAAAAAAGTCATCCTGAGATCCGAATGGCGCTTGAAGACTCACAGAATCCAAATTATCAAATTTCATTATAATTGGGAAAAGGATTTCTACATCCCCTAAGCACTGTATCGCATTCCGCAAACTAAGAGTGGTGCATTTCTCTATACCAAATAAATTGGCGGTTACAGGTTCTTGAGTGATCAGGTTACGAAATGCCAAATTGACACATTTCTGACCGAGCGATGCCTTAACATGAAAATTAAAAAGTATCTTGGAGCATAGCGTAGTACCATCAATTAAGTTATTTTTAGTCTTCATGTCTTTTCTCTGAATGGATTCAAATTGAGATGAATGGTTTGGACCAAGTTTGTATAAAGAACTTATCTGCTCATTTGTGAGAACATCATTTAACATGTACAAAGCTGTCATTTGTCCCCGAAAGCAATCATGTAATCCATTATTAGAGACTGAAGATGATGCATTTGAGGAAATATTGTCCAAATTTGACAATGGTCGTATGGCAAACGAAGCACCAATAACACAGTTATTAAAAGGCTGAGAGTTATAATCTGCCGGATATTCCAAACGAGCCTTGAAGTTGATATTCCCATCAACAACTACCTTCACTTCTGAAGGTGTAGTAGTCCACCCCTTCTTCGTTGGATAATGTACAATGACAATAAAATACCATCTTTTTTGCGTGAATTTGAAATCTGTCATAGGAACAGTAGAGACAATATCACCTTTTTTACAGCGAAAACAAAGCATATTGTTTTCAAAATAAGCTTCAATTCCATCGCCAGCTTCTGTAAAGAACGAGAATAACCGCGGTACGTAACCATCACTATATTCCATCATATCCATCTTTATCCAGGTAAAGAATGAATAACCATTAGTAGGAAACTTTTCAATAGTAGACAGCTTTATCCCGGATTCTATTCCCTTTAAATAAAAAAAGTTCATGGTATTTTGTTTCTGAGCAATGGAATATAGTAATTTCAAAAGAGCACCCTGATACCAAGCTGGATCTTGGTTATTAGTCGTCTCTTCGTTCTTGTTGCAAATCATATTCAAGATTAATTTGACGTCTGATACTTTGACGGAATAGGAGCACACAATTTCTAAAAGCCTCATGGTTCTATCGGCAAAATCATCCATTTGTTTTGCATTCCAAATAACATTCGTCAGAAGCCTGTTAGTTATGTTAGATTTGAACATTATCCATTTGTTCATGTCGCAATACTCCGCGAAGCATATTAACCTATCCATGACTTGAAGCTTGATAGAATCTTCCATTAATAGAAAATGTTGCAATATTAATTCCAGTACATGGTTGTCCTGCATGAAAGGCACGCTACCATTAGGCTGCCATTCTTCACTAGTAGTTAACAAATTGATCAGCGCCTCCATGGGGAAATAGGTAAAATTATTTCTGGTGACCTAAATCGTAAATATTTTAATACAGTGTTGTCACTGGAAGCTGGAGGTAAAATTAATAGTGTCACTGGAACGTTCACACCACTGGAAGCTCACTGGAAGTAAAATTAATAGTGTCACTGGAACGTTCACACCACTGGAAGGCCAAAAATTTCCCACTGGAAGGAATATTAACAACACTGTTTTAATATGTTGAAAAAAAATTTAGATTGCCGATGTTGAAAATATTTTAGGATATCGAAAAAATTCCAGACCCGAAATTATTTTAGGATGTCGAATTTGTCATATTATATTTATTAAATAAAAAAAAAAGCTTCCTATACTCCAATCTAGCTCATAATACTAATCTAAATATTCAGGTTACTTCGGAATCAGACTTTGATCACTTACAATAAGGGTAACGAGATACGACTAAAAAATCGCAAATAAATTACTAAAGCATATTAACATATTAAAGATAAACAAATCTCAACCAACCTATATAAAATTGTAATATCCTCGCACGATCTTCTAGTTATTGGCATTAAACGTCATTTATTGACCTGATAATGACAAAAAAAAAAGGTTGGTAGTCAATTTCAATATAAAATGAAAAAATCATATCAAAACGATCCAATATTTTACATCAGCATTCTTGCAATAATTTGCAATAATGTTAAATTTCATGAAGCCACGCACGCTTCAAACGAAAGGCATTATCATACCAGTAACAACACCCTTAAGGCAATATGGTAAATTTATCAAGTTTAGAAAGGAGGGAGATAAGTTAGGAATGAGTCCTTCGAATAAAGTCACAATTCAGTTCAAAAAACGTGACTCACAATATATACAAGGAATCGCAGATAAAATAGTTGCAGACTTCGAAATAAGACTACGGTTATGGATTTGTACTGTGCTGCGTTATGTTACATTGTACAATTACGTAATTTGGCGTCCTCTGTTTCTACTATCATGATAAACGCAGTGCGCAAGATAAATCGAAGAGAATGTCTAGGCTTTTGTTTCTTTACAATTAAAGTCATTACGTATATTGATTAACAAACTAATAATGCCGCAGGCGGCCGTTTTCGATTTCGGGTTAGGGCTAAAACGGCACATAGAAAACGGATGCCATTTACTGTGCCACTGCCCATATCTGATAATCAAAATTAATTTGAATCAGAAACGATACTTTTTGGATAGCCCGGCATTTACTATATGCTGTTTCAAGTGTTTTTTTTCATTACGTATGCAGTAAAAATAAGGAGTATAGTTTAATATCCTTCTATATATCTAATACTGTAATAAAGAAATTTAAATGACATAATTATTGTTCGAATATCAATTACCTACGTACGTATATATTTTCCAAATAAGTAATTTGTATCCTAATTGGCTTAATCTCGAAGGTCCTATAAGAGAGTATTAGACCAGATTTTGTAATTGTTCCCGCACGTATTTAAAATTGTCTGAAGTGTACTATGGAGACGTAAATGGATACACAAAATGTATTGGGTTCCGCTCACGTGATACATTTCCAATTTAAAGTTTGGAGCCGGTTTTATTTTTCATATGTTAAAACCGATTAAAACCAGTTTTAATATATGAAAAATAAAACCGGTTCCAAACTCTATTTCATATGTTAAAACTGGTTTTAACATATGAAAAATACTCTAATCCAATCAAAATGTAATGGATACGTAGACACGAATCATCTCGACAAGATGAAAATCTGTTAATATTACGCATTAGCTTCGGACACTACAATACCTGTTTTACTAGTATTAATATTTTGTTTATAAATTACCTTGAAAAAAATTTTTTTTGCAAAATTTTAGTATAAACTACAGTTCTATTTTAGCTTCTAACTCTAATACGTATTAGTTATTGTAAAATTAATTTTTACTGTATTTTAAAAAAAATTGGTTTACAGCTGTTCTCATAAATTTTGGGACAAACTAAAAATTTGTCGTTTCCCGAAATCTCTTCGGTTTCATCCTAAAGGCCACCTAACTCTTCGGATTCACGTCATTGTCTTCGGAAATTCAGTCTTGAGATAGCGATGTATTTTCCGGCAAGTTAGATAATTCATAGGACGAAACCGAAGAGATACGAGCAAATTTTTGGTTGTCCCAAAATTTATTAGAACAGCTGTAATGGATTGGATTTACTGTTTTTTTCATAACCCGGTCGGGTCAAAATTTACAAAACTTTAGAAAAAAACTTCGTGTTTTTAAAAAATTATATAAAAAATTTTGTTTTTTTTTTTTATATATAAAATTTTTTGAAATAAAATTAAAGCCGGGTTGCCGGGTCACTTTTAAAAATTTTATGTTATGAAAACCGATTTATTAAGTTTGTATGGCCTTATTAATTTAAACTAGCCATTTTCTATTTGAGTTATTTCGGATCATTTACTATCACTGCAGTATACTATTAAAATAGATTCTTTTATAGCAAAACCATGCTTAGAGTACTGTATATACTTTGCATAGTTTTGTTGTAAAAGAACTCTAAATAATTTACAAATTTTAATCCTGGTCAATTATTGGAACTACGTAGTATTCGAATTTTTTATAATTAAATATATATATATATATCGATATAATATATATATATATCAGATATATTAAATATTAATGTGATAAATTCAAATTATTCCCGGTTCCCGAAATTTCTAATGGGCAACCCAAAAATTTGGGATTGCTGTAATCATGTACAAATAAAGAATAATACATATGCATGATGCATAAATTCACATGAAATCCTTGTAGTCGAGAAATTTTTTCGATCGAAAATTTTACTATAAAAGGGAGTCACCAAAATTTATACTTCGTTATCAATCAGATTGGATCATTATGTTGGTTAGTACTTTTTCTCTATAAAGTCTGAGATGTTGTTATATATTATCTTTTTTTATTATTATTTCTAAAAAAAAAAATTATAATTTTATAGAATCGATTGATTAACGTTTTAGCTTTAATAGTTTCTACAACTTTCTATTGGATCTATCGAGTGTCTTCTCCTTTATTAAGGGTGCGTAATTAAAATTCAATGTTTGCAATGATATCAAAATTTTCTCAAATTTAAATTTTTTATAGAGATTAAGAAATAAAAAAACACCAGTAGAAAACCTTAAAGATGAGCTTGTAGTAGCACAAAATTATGAGGAATGGATTAAAAAGGCACAAGAAATAGATATGTAAGTATATGGCATACTTATTTTTTTCCATTTTTATACCGATTATAAATTTCTATTTGTCATTATTTTATTCTTTCTTTTCTACAAGTCTTTTAGGTATATATTTAATAGCGTGAAATTTTTTTCTTCAATGTTTAAGTATACAGCATGTTTAATAAATGAAAATTTTTATTAGACAATGATAAATGGAAATTGAATCCTGCGTCTCCATATTATGACTATAATCTTATTCAGAGCCGATTAGGTCATCTTAAACAAGTTAGGGAAGGAAATGATGTTTCATCTATGATTTATATGTTAAGAACAGGTTCATAAGTTGCATTATTTTATACTTAAAAATAATTTAAAATACTTTAATTAATTATCAAATGTTCACAAATTGTTTCGTGAAATTCAGGCCTTTTACGTAACTTGGGAGGCTTGAATGACCCTCGATTGTTCAGTCAATCATATTTAGGGTAAGTTTGTATTAGTAAGCATTGATATTTCAATTTATATATTTTCAAATATATACCTATTATATAATAAATTTCATAGAACAAAGAAGTTAATCGAAGATTATACACAAGAAGTTGCAACTCAACTCGAATATATTAGGCAGTCAAATTTTTCAGACGTTCCTCAGACTTCCAAGATCGATTTCTTTAATGATACTCGTCAAAGTTTTGGCTGTTCTGCTTTAGTCCTTTACGGTGGTGCAACTTTTGGTAATATCATAATGCATATATATTTTTAATTTTCTTTCCTGAAAAGTTTAGAATGATTTCAAAAATCATTTATAGGGCTATATCATCTTGGAGTTGTGAAAGCACTTTATGAAAATGGATTGTTGCCAAGGGTCATTAGTGGTACTGCAGTTGGTGCTTTTATAGCTGCTCTCGTGTGTATTCATACTGATGAAGAATTACCAGTAAGAAAATTCCTTGCGTATAGTAAAAATAGCAATAATAAATGCATTATTAGTAATTTGTTAACAAATTTTACTTAATTATTATCAGAAAATCTTTCAACCTGGTGGAGTTGATTTGGAAGCTTTTAGTAAAGTTGGAAGTAAAGGCAATGTTCACAGAAAAGTCTCACGATTACTTAAGCATGGTAATTTTCGATTTTTATTAATTGAATGTTGGAATTTTATAATAATAACAAATTTATGCTTTTTTTTTTTTTTTTATCAAGGCTATTTATTGGATATCAAGGTTTTAGAAGATTGTGTTCTTAAAAATGTTGGAGATTTAACCTTTGAGGTAAATTATAAAAAGTAAACGATTTATAAAAGTTAAGCACATAATAATAAAATATTAATATAAATTTATAGGAAGCATACGCGAGATCAAAACGAGTTCTTAACATTACAGTTTCATCCACAAGGAAATTTGAGGTGCCCCAGTTGTTAAACTATTTGACCGCACCCAATGTTGTAAGTATTTGTAAAATAATTTAATATTGTTCTGTATGTGTGGCACATGTATTAAAAGAGACAAAATCAATAACTTAGTTAATATCAAGTGCGGCTTGTGCTTCAGTTGCCATCATGGGTCTCTACGATAGTTATGATTTGATAGCAAAGGATAAAACTGGAAAACAAATTCCATGGGCAACAGGTATATAAATTTTGATTATCATGATTATAATAAATAAGTAAATTTATTAAATCTATCGGGAACCTAATATTATGTCTTTATATAGATGTCAAATTTAAGAAGTGGACAGATGCGGTTCCATCGGAAAGGTATGAGTCAATTATAATTTACTCATCTTTAACTTAAAATTTCAATATATTAATTAATAACTT